CTGCCTAGGCTCAGTGTGCTGGGCTCTGCTAACTCCCCATGGGAGACCTTGGTTTGGTGGATGTGGAGATGTGGGGAAGGCTGGGAGGGAGGGCTGGGGAAGGCTGGGAGGGAGGGCTGGGGGAAGGCTGGGAGGGAGGGCTGGGGGAGGCTGGGAGGGAGGGCTGGGGAGAGGCCATGCCCAGGATGAGCCCACAGAGAACCCAAGCAGGTGCTCACAAGAAGGAGAGGCCCAGTGCCCAAAGTCCCAGCTTTGGGCCTGGAAGGCCGGGTCATGCCTTCCAGGGACATGGGCTGCTATGGGGAGGTTGAGGACTCTCAGAGTTCCTCTCACCCATGACTTGAAAGGCGTGAAAGCACAAACCCATTGCTTCCCCAGGAAATCGGGTCTCGACTCTGCCACAAAGCTTCTAGAAGTCCTGGGCAGGGGCTGAGGGCTGAGCCTTGGATCTGCTCAACAGCCACAAGCCAGGAGGTCCCTCACAGCCCCATGGGCACTGGCAGGACCCTCGTGGCCAGGCTGGGGCAGCTCAAAGGTCCTGCCCCTCCACTGGGCCCAACAAGAGCGCTGTCACTAACCATGGAGACACTGCTTCAGCCAGCGCTGAGCTCGGAGCCCTCACAGGAAGAGCCGAGAGGCCCAGCAGATGGCGGGAACTCTCCGGGATCAGCCTCAAAGGTCACCGTCTGTCGCAGCCTGCCTGCTCCTCGCTCTTCTGCATCGATGGAGTGTCTCATGCTGACTTGAGGCCCAGCTCCAAGCTGGGTGTGACATTTCCTGTGGGCTGACCTTGCTCACACCCCACGGTCCAGCTCCATCCACTTGGCTGAGGAGGGTGGGGCAGCTGTCTTAAACACGCTGCAAACTGAGGCAGAATAAGGCTGACCAGCATGCCCACGTCATCGGCCTTGTTCACCAACCTCTGCCTGGCCTCTCCTACCTGCTTCAGCACTCTCCCATGCAGAAGGAAGAGGAATTCAGAGTCATCTCCTCTGAGTTCTCACCAGCACAGGTCGGAGCCTGTCCTGTCCTGACCACCCTCAACAGCGTCTGTTCTCAGAAGATCCCACTGGCTCATTCAAACTCTGGTGTCAATGGCTGATGCAGTTAAGTGGGGTTCTAATGATTCTGGAGGGACGAGGATTAACGCTCAGGCTTGACCCTGCCTGGGGCTATCATCACCACAAGGTATCCACGGCCACGCCATGTCCTCCTCGGAGACTGTGGACCATCGGCAAGGTGTTCTCCACACACTCATCCTCCGTCCCTTGGGAGAACAGGCCAAGCTAAGGCTGACTGAACAGGACGTAGGTGGTTGCTAGGCCTGTGGATCCCCAGAGATGGCCGGGTTCCCATCCCACTTGCAGCAGGTTTGTGTGAGCTAGCTGTCTAGAGGGAGCATGGGAGACCTGGCCCCTTGCATCCCAATAAGCACCCTCCAGGCAGGCTGTGCCCCTGGAGCCCCCCTCAGCAGGAAGGAAGCACTGACCAGAGCAGCAGAGCCCAGGCCCCCTGGAAGAATTAGTCTCCATGTGGCTGGGAGGCAAAGCCAGGCAGTGACACACACACCCCCATACACACACAGGGGAGCAGACACCCACATGCCCCAGAGCTGGAGAGCCAGCTCTTGTTGAGTTTGCCCAGCCCACTCTCCCCACGTTAACCTCTTGCCTCTGTAAATGGCTTCTGAGTGTCTGGTCCAGCCTCTCATCACTATCGGTTTCATTAGCGAAGAAACCTCTTGCCCCAGCTTGGACCATTAACATCACTAAAAGGGACCCAGGGAACACAGACCACAGCCTTCTGGTTGCTCCCCCTCCCCTACTTCCTCTCTTTGCAGACCAGCGGTCAATGCAGCCTGCCCACCTCACAATGCACACCAGTCCCTGTGTTCACATAGGCACAGACCTAGCAGCCAGGCCTCTTTGCACAGGACCAGAGGGACAGGGAACATGGAGGCCTGAGCCCTGGGTCCTATCATACCAACTGTGCCCATCCTTGGGCAGAATAGCACAGAAATATTAGCCATCTCGAGAACCTCGATAGAGCACCTTGTCCCCCAGATATGTGTCCCTGTGAATATGCTTTGAAGTCTAACATCCAGACAGGCCATTCTGTGGGCTCAGCACACAGAAAGTCGGGGAGCCAGGGATCCCCCATCTCAAAGGTGAAGTGGATACTGGGAGGCCTTCACTCTTGAGCACCAGGAAAGTCTCAAGATTCCATGCAAGGCTCACTTACAATGAGCTGGGGGCTGAGCCAACGTCACTGGGAGCACAGTTGGGTGGCCCAGGCTGCCTCCCTCCCGGGCCTGGCAGGGCCTGGATGACTCAGCTGTCCCAGCCATCAGTGGAGCAGGCCTGGGACAGCCAGCCCGTTTTCCCATTATCTCCTCCTCTCCGTGAGGCTGGAGGCACGGGAGGACCAATGCAGCACTCTGAGAACCCACGAGATGATCAGGACAACGAGGTCCCCGGGGACTCCTTGAATTGTCCATGCAGGGGCATCATTCCCTTAGGGGTTCCTGCTGCTCCTACACCAAATCAAGTAAAACCAACCGCCCAGGAAAAGGCCACCCTGGGACCACAGCAGGTGCATACACGTGGGCACACACATTTCCGATGGTTGCAGATGCAGACAGGGGTATGCATCTGCAGTGGGGCTACCTGAGACTAGCCATGGCTAGATTCTACCCCATCTAACAGGGACGTCCTCGCTATTCATCCCCTCCTGGAAGCACAGACACAACACCATCCCCAGCGCTGATGCATCCTCAGAGTTAGACAGATGAGCTCCGGGTGAGAGAGACTGGCTTCCTCTCCTCCCACCCCAAGTGGCTCAAGCCGCCTTTCCCAAGCTCTGGAGACCAGGGCAAAGGGACCCAGAGGTCAGAGTTAGAGGGGACCAGTGGCCTCTTCTGGTCTCTTCCCCTTCCCTCCCCCGCTCCCCCCGCCACTCACACCACAGATAGAGCAAAGGAGGCAGGCTCGGGGTGGGGGGAGCTGGTGCATAATTATTGGTAAAATGCTTGTAACGTTTTCCCTCTCCCCAGTAGCTTTCAGTTGTTTTAGCAGCTTAGCAAGCACTTGGCTCCAATTGAATTGCAAATCAGCAGCTCTTGCCCCGGGAAGAGAAGAAGGGAGGTGGTGGAGGGGGCAGGGAGGGGCTGGGAAGGGAGAGGAGGAGGATGTAAAGGAGGAGGGCAGAGGGCAGAGGGGAGGGTGGGAGGGAGGCCAGGGCTGGGTTCAGGTAACCAGGCTAAGGTTGGATTAGCCTGCTCCCCCTTCCTCTCTTCATCCCCCTTCTAAACCCACAACCCCGCCCCCATCCGAAAACCAGGACACTCTTCTCTAGCCGGAACTGAAGGGCGGGCTGGGAGAGCCACCAGGGGCTTCCTCAACTAACCAGAAGAAAACACATCTTTCTTGGGGATTGCAATTATTTGAAAACAATGTCAAAACAAAAGTCTTGCTTTATCCCCTGGCAATCTGCAACGCCGTGGTTTCCAGTCTATATTTTGTCTGTCTGCCCTTCCATCGATCCACCTGTCTTCCATTTGTCTGTCTGCCTCTCTCTGATGTTCCTTCACACTTCCAGCCCCCTCCAGGTTCAGGGTCTAAAGAGGGAGCCAAGGCGGGTGCTGCTTCAGAACCACGGTCAGCACCAAGCCCCATCCCTCAGCCTCACCCTCACTCCACCATGCCCAGGCTTCCAACACAGGATCAGGCACGAGAGCCCAGAGGGCTGCCTCCTTTCTCATACACTCTCCCACACAGTCAGGAGGAGGAGAAGAAGGAGGAAGGAGTCTCAGGCCAGGCACCCTGGGCCATGGAGGGCACTAACCTTGAAGAGGCGGAGGATGTTGGCCACCATGATTGAGACCGAGCTCCCTGAAGCTCCGATGACGCCCACCACTCGTTCAGGCTTGGTGATGATGGGCGGGCCGCCGCTGCCGCAGCGGACCTCCGTGCCGTCCTTCTCGATGAGCGCCTGCACAAAGGTCAGTGACTGCTCCAGGGCATGGGTGTCCCTGGAGCAGGTGTCCAGAATGCGGGCGCCCAGGGTGATGTTGGGCAGTAGGTCCGGGTCATTGTTGATGCGATCCAGAGCGAAGAGCATGGCCTCCAGCCGGTGGATGCCCTTCTCCTTCTTCAGCTCCCCACAGGCTTTACCCTCCGAGCCACGGCCATGGACAGGAAACAGGCCTCCCAGCGTGATATCCCCGTCAATGCGGATAGAGTTCATGTGGGGGTGACCCTTGGGCTTCCCTAGGGATGGAGGCACCCAGGGGCCATAAAGGCTAAGGAGCAGGCAGAGGGGCAGCCGGGCCCACCACCAGCCCCAGCCTCCCTTCCCAGGCATTTCGAAAAGGCCTAGAGACCCATGAATAGTGGGCCCCACTCCTAGCCCTAGCAGGCCCTGGGTCCCACGGCCTGGGCACACATGAGCAGGGCAGCTTCAGCAGCAGGGTGGCTGGTGACGGCCAATGGACTGGCCCATTCCAGAGATCTCCCCTCCTCCTCTTCGGTACTTGAATGGAGCTCAGTGGCCCACACAGGCCAAATCCACAGACGACAGAAAGTGGCCGGAGCTACAGGCGGTCTCAGATCCTCGTCCCCATGTCCTGCAGGCCAGATTGCTGTCTCTGGCTGTGGAAAGGGAGGAGAGCTCCTGGCCTGGCAGGATCTTAGCATCAAGGAGAAAACAGCTCCGATCACTGCTACCAACCTGGGAAAGAGAGAGAGGCTATCAGCCCAGCCCGAAGAAGACATTTACTATTCTGATTCCTCATCAGGAGCCTGGGAGAGGGAGCCCAGAGGTTATCGCCAAAGACGCCATAAATCTCTACTTGATTTTCACTGCTGCGGCCCAGCTCCTGAGGAAATGCAGAGCTGGAAGCAGAAACTGGGTCATGTTTAAAGACCTTCGCTGGCCTGGACCCATTGCCCTCAGAGGCCAGGCCTCTGACAGAGTCCTCCTGGGGACAGTGAGCGTGGCTGGGGAGGAACGGGTCCCTCAGCATGCCCTCGAAGTTATAACCTCATGATAGAAATGAAGAAACTGAGACCCCATAGAAGTCTGTGCCCAGTTCCACAGATATTCCCCACCTTAGCTCTGAGCAAAAAACCCAGCTGTTTTGGGGGGACCCAGGAGGGGAAGCCAAGACCCCAGGAGGAGAGCGGCCTGCCCAGTCAAGCTGGAGTGCTGGCTGTGCCCAGGCCAGGAGCTGCAATGCCAAAGGTGGGAAGAAGTGGTAATCTGGGGTTCAGAGATGGTCCCCCACTTCCACATGTTCACTCCAGTCACACAAGTGCCCAAAAAGTGCAAATCCAGGTTCCCTCCCCTGTCCCTCTCCCTGCCTCGGCCTCCTCTGGCCTCTCTCCATCCGATATCTGCCCCAGTGGGGCTCGGGTTGTGGCCTGGGTCTCTACATTATTGTCATCATTGTTGTTATTGTTGTTGTGATTAAATATTTATCTGCAGGGTAGAGGAGAAAACAGAGCTCTTCCTCATTCTCACAGCTAATTTGGGCTAATTTCCCTTGGGAATTCTGTACACCCCCTAGCTTCCCCCCTGAAGCCAGCAGCCTCCCCCTCTACTTCAGATTCCACCAGGAAAATGGCTGATAGCTGAGTCAGGGCTGGGCTAAGAGGTGACCCCAAGGCCCTTTCTCCAAGTGAAGCCAGCTAGCCATGGGGCCACTCTGTGCCTCAGTTTCCCATGCAATCAGAAGAGGAGCTGGAGTCTGGACTGAAACTCCCCCTAGAAATGGGGTGCTTCCATCAAGGCCCAGCAGGGGTCTGGGAACCCACCCCTCCTCAACTTGCCAATCCACCTACTCAAGCCCCAAGGACAGGGAATGGAAGGATGAGAGATTACAGCCTCAGCTTCTGGGCTTCTCTGGCCCTGAGGGCCTCACACTAAGTGTTGGGGGGATAGGGATGGAACCCAAGGTCAGCACATGCTAGGCAATCTCCACCACTGAGCTACAAGCCCAGACCTCAAGTCTTCCATCTGCAACAGGCCCTGGGCAGTCAAGACTCTAGCGATGACTCTACCTAGCCCTGCTCTACCAGTGAACAGGTATGGGTAGCCCTGAAGCATCCCGTAACTCTCTCCAAGTCACCTAGCAGATCAAGATGTGTCAGGTCTAGAGACAGAGCACATAGAGATCCTTGAAGAGCCACCTTTTCCAAGAGCCAGGGACCTGGGACTAGATCCACAGCCAGCATCTTGGGTGGTCTCAAGGCTCCCTCTGTTCAGAGATGTCATCTCTCACCCCTCATGAGAAGGGCTTTGTGGGATCACTTCCTGGGTGGTTGTGGGAATAGCTAGATGGGGCACTAGGCAGGCCACAAGCAGTCGGAAGGAGATTGGTGTCACCATGGGGTCCTAGAACCCTGCCCTGCCTTGCCAGGTGGGCACATCTCCTCTGGGTCTTTCTTGTGGTCATATATGGGAGTTGGGTCAGTTGGGCACCATGGTGGCCCCTTGGGCACATCTGCAGCTATCACTAAAATGGCCTGTGTGCAGACAGGGTATGGGCGTGCCAGACAATTGCCAAGGGGTCACTGGGCAGTTCAGACAACCACGGGGCAGCTGAAGAGCACAACACACTGCCCTGGGGGTGGACAGTGTCCAGCCCACCCCACAGAGGGGGCAGCTGCAGCACTGAGCGGTCCAGCCACACGGAGCCCAGAGACACAGTGCATGGGCAGGGTGGCCTACGCTCTGGTCACTCCACTGCTGTGGCGGGCAGTCCCTCAGACCTGCTGAGCTCACAGCTGTTTCCATGAGTGTCACATGGAGGGGGCTCGGCACCCTGGAAGGGTGTGAGCCACATCAGGGCCAATGGATGCAGGGAGCCTGCGCGGCACAGCTGTGGCAGTGGCTTGCGCCCTTTCCAGAGGTTCACTGCAGCTCCTAGAGGCTCAGTGCGCCACCCACATGTGGGAACAATCAGGGCAGGAGGGGAAGGAAGCCCAACACAGCAGGGCCAGATTCAGGAGTCCTGAAGGCACTTCGGCTGCCAAGCCTCCCACACGGCCTCCCTCCCGGGAGAGGAGCCTCGTCCCTGGCCATGGCAGGTCCCCAGGCAGATTCCAGTTCCTCCAAGGGGATTGGCGGACACACCTCCTTCAGCCTCCCCTCCATCTTTTGATGCTGTAACAGGAACAAGGGGGAAGTAAAAATACCCTGAAAGGAGGCAGAGCACAGCCCTGGGGACGTCTGTCTGCACCTGCAGGGGAAAGGGGAGTTCTTTGAAGTCCATTCCCTAAGCCGCAGACACACACACACACACACACACACACACACACACACACACACACACACTTCAAAACAGCCAGGAAGCCCAAATGGGGCAAGATGGGCGCCCCTCCAGAAGGAGTCACCGGGATGGCTGCAAGGCCAGCATCTCCCTCCTCTTCCCCTTCCCTGGCTTAGTCCTCCCTACTCCCCCCCCCCCCACTGGCGCAGGGTGGACGGTGACAGCACCAGAGGAGGAGCAGAGAGTCCTCCCCCGCACAGCATTAGCTCACGGGCCAACGGGAAGGCATTTTCCAGAGCCTTCTCTTCCGTGAATGAGGTTGTAAAGTGAACTTGGGATGGGCTGCAGTCCAGGAGGGCTGAGGACCAACGCGGGCCTCGGCCACCAGGGAGGGCTCAGGAACCTGTCTCCCCAGGGGCCGTGCCAACTCCTCTCAGGCTGGCCCACCATGCCTTTCTGATCTCGATCTTTCCTCCCCAAGCATGGCCCGATCCAGGAGGAACCAGACCACAGAGCAACAACCAGGCAGGGAGAACCATGATTCACCAAAACTCCAGTCATCCTTCACTGAGCTGCCTTTGACTCTTCCAAAACCCACCAAACAGAACCCAAACAGCAGCCTTGAGGGCAGAGAACGGGGTAACCTTGTACCTTGTCACAGGACAAGGTGGGAGCCACTACACTTGATCCTCTGAGGGCTGCGCCCCAGAAAAGACGTGGGCACTCAGGGTATGAAGCCATCCATGGGTGCCATAGGGAGAGCTAGAGCCCAGACCCCGCCCTCAGCCCTCCTGAGCCTTGCTCCATGGCCTCAGTGACCTGTCCCACCTTGGATACCTCTGGTTCCCACCCAACCAGGTGCTCAGAAAGCTGGAAACTGTGAATGGCTGAGTCGGGGGACTGCCCCCAGCTCTGTAGACATCTCTCTGGCCCACATCTCACACCCTAAAAGGCAAAATGAAAGGGAACCAGAGACCTCTCCCCTCTTCCTGCCTGAACCCCTCTCCACCACCCCCAGGACCCCACGACCCAGCAAAGGACTAGTTTGTGAGTCAGTACCCTCCCACAGGGACATGGCCAGTGCCCAGACATGGGAAGCAGGCCACTCGAAACCTCCCCTGCCCCACAGCGAGAGAGTCCACAACTCTGCCTGCCTCAGAGCGGCTTTGCGGCTCCATCGGGCACATGGCCTCCCATGAGGAGAGTAGGCTGGGTCCTCCATGGCCTCTGCACCGCGGCTCGCCAGCCTTACATTCTCAGCTGGTGTGGAGCATGGATGCTATGAAGGGGCCTGCACTGCTCCCCAAGGGCCTGCTCTGCATTTACGAGACCCTGTGGTACACAGGACTGGTACTTCTGATGGTGGAACTCGGGGTAGGTTGTCAGGCTGTGAACAGGACTGACTGGCAGGGCCAAGGTGCCGAGGCCACCCAACTGATCAGAGACTTATTCTAAAGAGGAGCTCTGGGTCCCTCAGCACCTCTCCAGGTCCCTCAGCATTCCCACAGCCACGGGCTGGCAACAGAGAGTATCACGCCGGGGCCCGGCTCTGGAAGCCCCGCGCTCAAATAGCCGAAGCTCCCAGACCGGAACCTGCCAAGTCCTAGAACAGTCTACACCCCCAGGCATCCGTCCGTTCAGGTTCTGCAAGAGCACAGGCCTGATTCAGAGGTGACGGCTCCTCGGCAAGCCCTGCAGAAATGTGTGTGGAAGGAGAGAAGAGACCAGGTAGGAGGTGGGAAGGACACAGGAAGTAACTCCTCAGCTTAGTGTCAGTGGGAATTAGGAAGAGGAGAACATGGCATCCACGGTCCTGTACTTCTGCCCTTCCGGTGGAGAGCCCTCCTCCCCCAGGGAATCTGCCCTGACTACTCCAGTTCCTGAGACAAATATTATAGTCTCGCTCACGCTGAAGCTGATGCTGGGGGTTGATGGAGAGGCCCATGTGACCAGCTCCTTTACATCCCCTGTGCTTCATCCACGGTTCAGAACACAAAATAACACGCTCAATCAATGACAGGCAGAGACAGGTCCCCTCCCGGAGCCAGTCATGCAGCTCCACTGAGGCAGAGGCCAGGACAACGAGCAGCAACATCTGCCGTTCACAGAGAAGGACTCCGCCCTGGAGCCAAACTCTTGAGACCCTCCCGTGTGGTCAAGCACAGACTGCTGTCCCATTTGCCATGGACATCCAGTCATTCGGGGTGGCCTTCAAACATGGGCTATGAACCCCCAGGATGCCCTGCCCTGGTGTGACTCAGGTACACACACCTGTGCAGCTGGCACTGGGGATGAAGGACACAAGAGCCACGCAGCCACACAGGGGATCAGGGGAGGTGCCCGGAAGAGCCCTTTGGGAAGAGGATCGCGAGGGAAGGTTTCTCTGAGGAGTTGTTTTCAAACAGAAAGTACAGCGGGAGCAGGTAAGCCTGTGGGCTTCTGGAGCAGAAGCCAGGAGGGGACCACAGGGGCAAAGACCCCGAGGTTGGTGCTTAGCTTTTTGTGGATAAACGGCAGGAAGCCAGCGCGTCCAGAGGACAGGGAGAGAGCGGAGGGATTGCTGAGGGACAAGCAGAGAGTGACTGGCTACGGTCAGACTCCATGGCCACTGTTCAGACGAGAGATGGGGGCTTCGAACTCAGTGACAAGATGAAAAAGAAAGCTGAGGCCCAGAAGGGTGGCCACAGCTGCCCACAGCTGCCCACATCAGCAGAAAGTCTCATCCCATGTCCAGCCTATCACCAAAGCTCAGGGCATCAGCCAGCCATCCTGCCAACATCGCCCGCCTCTCTGGGGCCTCAAAGTCCACACTGCCTCCTCCAACTTCAGGTCCAGTGTCCACAGCCTAGCCCTCATCCTTGTCTCACCTCCCCATCTCCCCGCCATGGTCCCTAGCTTCCTGCACAAGACCCAAGTCGACAGCTCCCCCCCCCCCAAACCCCATACTCCAGGCCCAAGTACGGCCTGGAGCCGGGTGCTTAGCCCAATCTGATCCATCTTGCCTCAGAGCGTGGACACAGCCACCTCCGAGGACAAGACTCCATGCCTAGGTGGGCCACACAAAGGCCATGGACCAGAGGTGGCCATGATGATGTCTGTGACAGACAGGGCCTGCCAGGCTGAATCCCCGACCCTCAAGTCTGTATTTGAACCTGAAGAGTCTCTCTGCATCTGGGGCAGTGGCTGTCATTTTAACTAGAAGTCCCACCCCAACTAGTAGGTACAAAGGCTGGTTTCTGTCACCCAGGAATGTGGGGGAGGTAGCCAGAGAGCCCAGAACTCTGGCTCCATCCCCCCCGCACACACACCCACAGGAGCAGCCACGGGTCTCTCCGAGTTTCATAGTTATCACTCTCACCCCAATGATCGTGGCCTTGCCTTCTCCAGGAGAGAGGTAGCTTAACAAGACTGTCTCACCAGGCCTAAAATGGCGCAGGCTGTCATTATGGGCTGTCATTTCCCAATTACTGCAGATAATATCTACTTTAATTGAACAGGGTCCTGATAATGCCATTACCCACCAAGTTATCCAATTCACTTAATATATGCACGTACACACATATTAACACCTGGCTGCCACCATGACTACTCTACGGTGACATTCGGGGGTGACACTTTAATGGGAGGACTCGGCTTTCATTTAGGGGTGACTTGTACTATCCTCGGTGTGCTGGTTTTACCAAGAAGCCAGGGGACAGGGACAAGCCAGAGCAGCCTCTCTTGGCCTGCCGTCTCAGAGGGCTCAGAGGGGATGGCGCTTTGGGCTAGGCCAGCTTGTGGCCAGCAGCTGCTCTCCTGGGTCCTTTTCACAACCTTCCCTGAAGGAGGGAGTGAAGGGCGGGGTCAGAGGGAGGTCTTGCTGCATAAGGAGCAGGTACTGGGGGGCACAGCCTGCTCCCCAGGGCCCTAGGCAGGGATTTCTCTCAATCCCGCTGTGTGCACGGAGTAGGTAGCGATCTACGTGTGCATGGATGGTGTGCATACAGGTGCATACTTGTGGACCTATGAAGACCAGAAGTGGACAGCAGCTGTGGCCCTCAGTTCCTCCCCTCCCTATTTGCTGAGATGGAGTCTTGCTAATAGGAAGCCCATGGTGAGGCTAGGCTGGCTGAGCCGTGAGCCCAGGGGCTACCTGTCTCTGCCCCCCCCCAGTGCGGGGTTCCGGGTACATCACCACATGGCTTTCTCACAGGTGCCGGCACCCAAACTCAGAACCTGGGGCTTGCCAAATGAGCCATCTTGCAGCTTCCTCTCAGTTCATTTCCTGGCGATCCCAGCTGACTAGGGCAGAGCTGACACTCCTGGAAACGGGGTCTTACAGGGAGTGACAGGAAGCTGTTGTCCTCACTCCAAGCTCCTCTGCTTCTCCTTCTTCAGGTGGGGGCCTGCTCAGCCGGCAGGTCTTCTGCCAGGCCAGGCCAGGGCTGGGGCATGAGATGCGATCTGCAGGAGAGCACATACCTTGCAGTGGCAGGAGATGCCAGCCCAGCTGCCCAGTCTCCCAGCAGGGCCTGCCCACTGGAAAGTTGGGTTCTGGGCCCAGAGGGGGAGGACAGCAGGGGTGGGCAGATGTCTTGGGGTGGGTGGTAATTAGGGGCTGCTGCTCTGAGCCTGGAGGAAGAGGACAGGCCTGTCAGCTGTAATTACAAGGCTCTGGAGTCCATGGGTCCTGCTCCATGTCTTCCCACCAGCTGGCCCCTGCAGTGGGGTAGGGATGGCCCAGCAGCCCCGAGGTTGGGCTATGGAGCCCTCAGGACAGGGACAAGGCTGTGCAGAACCTCCCAGGCTCTTCTGGCCAGCAAATATTCAGTCGCAGGCTGACTGCCAAACTCCTGGAGACATCATGCCTCCAACAGAAGGATGCAGAAGCCATGACACAGTCAGAGGAGGAGGGGAGTGCCCTCACCTGGACCAGAGACCAGGACATCTGTCCAGGTCCTGACCTGTCCTACCTCCCTGCCTGCTCAGGGCCTGTTCTATGTGAGGCTGAGAGTTTCCCAATGCCCTCTCTGAATGTGCCTGGAAATCCACCACTCACAATATGTTCCTCCAGACCAAACACTGCCAACTGCCAGGGTGAGGGATCATTTCTGGGGATGTTTGTCCCTGAGCGGTGTGAAGCAGGTGAGGAGAGTCCAAATAAACCGTAGCCATCTGTTCCCCAGGAGGGCAGGCATGCAGCTCAGAGCTGAGAAGGAATGGGTGGGGCACCATCCCCAAAGGTCCCACCCAGGACGAGAATCTGACCGAGGCTGGGGCTCCTTCAGGAAGCAGTCTTCTGCTGAGGACGAATGCCCACAGCCCCCCACAGCCTGCCCAGGGCCTGTGCTGGTCCTCTGTGACCCCCACACCCCTGTGCTGGTCCTCTGTGATCCCCACACCCCTGTGCTGGTCCTCTGTGACCCCCACACCCCTGTGCTGGTCCTCTGTGACCCCCACACCCCTGTGCTGGTCCTCTGTGACCCCACACCCCTGTGCTGGTCCTCTGTGACCCCCACACCCCTGTACTGGTCCTCTGTGACCCCCACACCCCTGTGCTGGTCCTCTGCGACCCCCACACCCCAGACTCTGCTCAATCCTATAAGAGCAGCTCAGGAAAGCTCCCAAGTTCTCAGCTCCTCACCAAGGCCTGCCACCTCCTCCGGTTCACGGGGGAACTGAGCCCAGGAGAAAGAGGGCCAGGACCAAGCCACCCTGAGAGGTAGGGGCTGGCATGAGAAGCGAAGCCCTCTCCCCGCGGCTGGTTAGATGTTAGGCTCCGCTGCAGAGACGCTCCAGTGGCCTGAGATGCTCAGAAGGGATACCCTCCGAGTACCGGCCTGCCTGCCTGCCCGCCCTAAGTCCAGCCATCCCGAGTAGAGCGGGTGGCTGTGAGGACACATACACACACACGCCTCCCGCCAGACTCACAGCAGGATGGCCACCACACTGCCACACGTGTGGCTTGGGGTACCCTAGCCCTGAAAGCCCAGCTCAGGGGGGTGTCACCAAAAGACAGCTTTCTCCCTAGCCAGGGGCAGGGATACCGAGGAGAGCAAGAAGAAACCAGGTGCCCCCTGCAGAAAGGATTGTCTGAGCACGAAGAGTGTCGCCCAGGGCTAGGGGCAGAGGGCGCTCGTCCTTTTGGGCTCAGGACTCCCCGCCGCGGCGCTGCTGCCCCAGCTCAGCACAAACAGCCTCGCAGCGCGAGGTGCGGGGGCGCAGCGCACAGTCGGGCTTCCACCTCGGCCCCGCCCCCGCGCGGGGAGGGGACACGGCTGCCCGCGGGCGCGGGGAACCGACCCCGGAGCAGGGACCTCCCCCGCCACACGAGCGCTCACAAAGATCCCTTAGAGACGCTCGGTTCACCAGGGTTTCGGGGAGGCTATGGCCCCAAGTGTTAAGAAAGCCTGACCCCAGGTCCCGGGGCTGTGGAGAGACCCCAGACCTGCAGCGCCACCGCAAACCACGGCGGCGGCTGCGGGCAGGAGGTGCTCCGGCTCCAGCCAGTGGCGAAGGTGGTGCCGGGGCCGGACTCGGTTCTCAGAGAAGGGAGCCTTAGCGCCCGGCTGGCGCTGCCCTCCGGCCGAGGACCACGGGGCAAAAGCGCACACCCCGGCCCGCGCCCCCACCACCTAGCCTTTCCGCAGAGGGGGCGCGCGGGTGTCGCCGTCCCCATCGGGTCCAACTCCACCTGTCATCGGTGCAGCCCGTCACAGCCCCCACCCCACTTTCCCCTAGATCCGCAGACAGCTGTGTCCCATCCCCGAGGGGGCATCGGAGAGGCGGCCCCAGCCCGAAGAGGACCCTTGTTCCTGGGTCCCGAGCCCGCCTCCCGGAACTAGGGAGCTCGCAGAGGCCACCTCCCCAAACGCTGGGGTCCCCACCGCAGCCCGCGCTCCCGGAGACCGGAGGGCATAGTCCCCTCCGCCCGTGCTCTCGGGCCACAACTCACCGCGCATCGGCGAGGTGAACGCCGCGGCCGGGGGTCGGCTGCGCCCGGGGAGCGCAGGGAGGCGGAGGCCA